AGAGTCCTTGGTGCCATTGTACACCACTCAGTGAAAAGTCAATAAAAGTGTCTTGATGATCTTGTCATCTTAAAATGAGAGCTGTTGGTCCAAAGGTACCACAATTGCTTTCATAATCTGAAGGAATAAAAATGAGAGTCGTTGGTGCAATCGTACCCCCAATTAGTGAAAACATCATAAAAGTCAAGAAAAATGCATACAACTGCCCTGTCTCTTCAGTGCTTAGAGCTCTTGAGCAATCTTAAGGAGCTCTTAAAAATCTTAGCTCTCCTGAGCAACTGAACATACTGAATGTGTAGATTCATAGTATCTGCCAGACTCATATTCTGAGTGTCTTGAGGATGGCCTGGGCATGGATGCATCTTAAAATGAGAGCTGTTGGTCCAAAGTTACCACAAGTGATCTCACAATCTGAAATTTTAAAAAAGAGAGATGTCGGTGCACTTGTACCCCAATTAGTGCAAATAAAATAAAAGTCAAGAAAAATGGGTTCAACTGCCCTGTCTCTTCAGTGTAAGTAATCATAGACCTCTTGGTCAATTGAGCATACTGCACATATAAATCCAAGGTGCTTGGTAGTCTCATATTCTGATGGTCTTGATGGCGATCATCACATTGATTATGGGTACACTTTTAAACGAAAGCTGTTGCTCCAATGTTTATTCTTATGGTTTAAGATGTTTATTCATATTCAGTTTATTCATATTCTTATGGTCTTGAGGAAGATCCTCACATGGAGTATGGATACTCCTTTAAATGAGAGCTGTTGGTCCAATGGTACCACAATTGTCTAAATAAAATAAAAAATTCTAAATAAATTCAAAGTCAAGAAACATGGGTACAACAGCACAACCTCATGATCAAGTTCCCATATGACACTTGAAGGAGAGGGTCATGGCACAAGCCTGAGAACCCATTTACCAGCCTCGTTAGCGCAGTAGGTAGCGCGTCAGTCTCATAATCTGAAGGTCGTGAGTTCGATCCTCACACGGGGCATGGATGCTTTTAAAAACGAGAGTCCTTGGTGCCATTGTACCCCATTCAGTGAAAATAAAATAAAAGTCTGGGTTCAGTTGCAATGTCTCTTCAGTGCAAGTAATCATCAACCTCTTGATCAATTGACCATACCACACATATAAATCCCAAAGTGCTTTGGTAGTTTCATATTCTGATGATGTTGGTAGCGATTCTCACATTGACTATGGGTACACCTTTAAATGAAAGCTGTTGGTCCAATGGTACCACAATTGTCTAAATAAAATTTAAATTCTAAATAAATTCAAAGTCAAGAAACATGGATACAACAGCACAACCTTTAATCAAGTCCCCATACTACACTTGAAGGGGAAAGTCATGGTACAAGCCCAAGAAACCATCTTGAGTGTTGTAGGTAGGGTTTCTGATAATCTGATGGTCTTGAGGGCGATCCTCACAAAAAAATTGTACTAGTTAAACAAACAAAAAAAAAGCAATTCCCATCTGATAGAAGAAATGTTTTGCTTCTTTCTTTCTTTTCTTGTAATATATTTGTGAGAGATCTGAACGGGCATGGAATTGTGAATTGTGGCTGCAGCTTGATTTAAAAGAAACCTTTAGGTTAAAAAGGTTAAAAAACCTTTTCAGCTTAGGTTAAAAAACTCAACAATAAGTGTACAAAAGAAAAGATCAGGAAACAAAGCTCTGATTTTAAACCTCAGGAGCCTTGAGATAAATTTTGACACCTGGAACTTTAAAGAAGAAAAAAAGACACAGGAAACTAGGCCTTAAATACAAGACAGGAAATAAGGAACAGTTGCACATGGTAACACAAAATCAGAGAGAGGATCAATTACAAAGCCAGAAGTGTGAACGTATAAGGAAAGTGGAAAGCCAAGAGGGTCAAAATAGGTGTGAAAAGAAAAAGACTTGTGCATAGTTTTGAGCAAGTGCAATCCTTAGGCTGTCCAAGTGAGAGCATCCACAGTGGTCTTTAGGGGATCCATGCAGTACCATCCACAGCAACCTCACAGCAAACTTTAGGTTATCCATGTGGGCCATACTTATCAGTAGTGAGTTATTCTCAGGTGAAGGAGGCTCCAAGCTGAAGCAGAGCTTCAGGATAAGCCAGGCAATACAGGAGGGTCTGCATCTCGTGAGGAAGCAGGAGTAACGTGTGTAGCTTGACAGAGCGAGAAAGAGAGCGAGAGAGAGAACACATATCATAAGGTATGCTCTTGTCCTGTAATGGTTTAAAATGATGTACAATATGCACAAGCAGAGTACAAGAAAGTACTCCAGCAACACTTCTTATGAGAGCATAACTGAAAAGGCATCCAAACATCCCAGTTTACCAAAACATTCTGTGCCGATGAATCCACAGAGACAAGGGAAGGAAAGGTTTCAGTCCATTAAAACTACCTAATCTCACTACATGGGGTCGCTGGCCTGCTTCTCGCTCTTCGGAGGCATGGCTCGGGAAGTATTTGTTGTTTGATTGTTCAGTTAGAGCCGTTGCTTTGAAGTTGTTTACATTTGGTCTTTTCAGGCAGGTGGTGATATTTTGTTCCCCAAGTCTAAGAATATTTGTAGGTGATCTTTAAGGTTTCAGTCCATTAAAACTACCTAATCTCACTACATGAGGTCCCCAGCCTGCTTCTCCCGCCTGGGAGGCATGGCTCAGGAAGCGTTTGTTGTTTGATTGTTCGGTTAGACCAATTGGTTAGAGGCTGGGTAGAAGTGGTCTTTCAGAGTGGATGGTGGTGGTGTTTTGACCCCCATG